TTTGTCTATTTGTTTGTTTGTTTTGTTAAAAATGTAATACAACTGTTTGAGTCCACAGTGTTCTCGGGATGTAGGTAAACTACAACTCCCAAACTCAAGGTCAATGCCCACCACACCCTTCCAGTATTTCTTGGCACACAGAACTCCCATGACCAACAGAAAATATTGGAAGGGTTTGGTGGGCATTGACCTTGAGTTTTGGAGTTGTAGTTCACCTACATCCAGAGAGCACTGTGGACTCAAACAATGATGGATCTGGACCAAACTTGGCACAAATACTCAATATGCCCAAATGTGAACACTGGTGGAGTTTGGGGAAAATAGACCGTGACATTTGGGAGTTGCAGTTACTGGGATTTATAGTTCACCTACAATCGAAAAGCATTCTGAACTCCACCAAAGATGGAATTGAACCAGACTTGGCACATAGAACCCCCATGACCGATAGAAAATACTGTGTTTTCTGATGGTCTTTGGTGACCCCTCAGACACCCCCTCACGACCCCTCCAGGGGTCCCGACCCCCAGGTTGAGAAACGTTGCTCTAGACCATGGTCATATAGCCCGAAGAAACCTACAACAACCTCAATCAGTTCTCCTGGTGAGATGTATATGGACCCCACTTATTCTCTTTCCTATACATGAAGAAAAGCTTTTTAAAAATTCTACTCAGGCTTTTATAGTATTTATAGTATTGTTTGGGTGAAGCTGTTACTGCCTCTTTGCCTTTTCATATTCTTCTGTACCACTGTTTTACTGTTAATTGTATTCTTGTGTGCATACTATTATACCTTGATTGTAAGTTGCCTTGAACATTTGTTCGAAAGGCAGCGCATAAATGCTTAAAATAAGGAAACATTCTGGAAGTGAAATTCCTCACGTCTGCCTTCTGCACAAGATAAGTGCTCTATAGTTAGAGGCAAACTGGGGAAGGAGGGGGAAGCTGTGTTTCTCTATGAGGCAGCTGATGATTTGCTTCTCACGCTTGACATGAATGAGACGACTTTATGAAGTAGTGATACCTGCATGGGCCACCGAAGAAGATGGGAAATGTCAAAACGCATCTGGTGCCTTTGAAAATGTTGTCTTATTTATAGCGGCTGCGAGCGGAAGCCACAATGCATAACTTTATGATAATGGAGCTCCATCGCTGGCAAGATGTGTAGCTGTGCTCGCGAAGTGCTACGCACAACAAGGCATGATGCAAGATGTCTCTTTGCACAACAAAGGCAACCTTTTCACAGTGCGTCCTGTTGTGTATTTTCACACGTTGTGCATTGGGGTCACTGTACATTGGAACTATTGCCCAGCTCCATGCTGCTGGCTCTGTTTGGACAGTGCTTTTGGGAAATCAAATTGTTATTCAAAGTAAACTTGTCCTCACCCTCTCCCATTGTTCCAGCTGAATTCGTGTACCTATAGTTTGAGCCCATTTAACCATATAATCTTTGGCATGAAAGATGCTACCTTTGAAATGACACAGTTTTTTGCACTCAACCATTTCTGAGTTGCTGGAAAGCAGGAAGATCAATGAATGCAGCAAGTTATTTTCCTGTAACTGAATGCATTGGGAGGATGTTGAATACAGCGATTCCACCACTACCCTAAGAATCCTTGCAGATTTCTATTTCACTTCATAGGAAAATAGCTCTACTACTCTCCCCACCCCTACTTACTCTCCAACAACCTAATGATGCAGCTATGTTACCAAAGGAGCCACAGTGGCACAATGGGTTAAACCCTTGTGCCAGCTCAACTGCTGACCTGAAGGTCGGTGGTTCAAATCCACAAGATGGGGTGAGCTCCCATCCGTCAGCCCCAGCTTCCCATGTGGGGACATGAGAGAAGCCTCCCAAAGGATGGTAACACATCCAGGCTTCCCCTGGGCAATGTCTTCAGGCAGCCAATTCTCTCACACCAGAAGCAACTTGCAGTTATCTCAAGTTGCTTGGCTATGTTGCCAAGTTTGCATCACTTGATAATGAGTTGTGCAGTGTAGGTCAATAATGGGCAACCTTTTGAGCTTGGTGTGTCAATACTTGCCAAAAAAATGAGCATAACTCGGGTGGGGTGTCACTTCAAGAAAAAAACCATAATTTCATGATATTTATAGTTTAATAACAAAAATATATTATTGTAATATATAACTGTATTTAATAAACCAAAAACTAATTATTTAACTTACCTGCTTTTTCTATAATGCCATATATCTTGGCATTATAGAAAAATGCTGGTGTAGGAGTCGAGGATGAAATGTCCTTCTTGGGATGTGGCCCCATCTTCTCTGTATGTGGCCGTATGCAACTGTGTGTCATCGAAAATGGCTACGCGTGTCAGTGCTGACACACGTGTCATAGGTTCGCCATCATGGGTGTAGGTAAAGGTAGTCCCCTGACATTAAGTCCAGTCATGTCTGACTCGGGTGTGGTGCTCATCTCCATTTCTAAGCCGAAGAGCCAGCGTTGTCCGTAGACACCTCCAAGGTCATGTGGCCGGCATGACTGCATGGAGCGCCGTTACCTTCCCGCCGGAGCGGTACCTATTGATCTACTCACATTTGCATCTTTTCGAACTGCTAGGTTGGCAGAAGCTAGGGCTGACAGCGGAAGCTCACGCCGCTCCCCGGAATAGAACCTGCGACCTTTTGATCAACAAGCTCAGCAGCTCAGTGCTTTAACCCACTGCGCCACCGGGGTGTAATATTAGCAGTGTAATATTAGCAAATGTAGATATTTGCAATACATGTGGCTCCCAGCGTAAGATTCCAGCCATACAAACACGTACGTGGACTTATTCTTCAATTTTTATTTCATGCCTCTTGATGGAGTGGGTTGGTTGTTAGTCTTCCAAGCGATTCTTGTTTTCTTCCTTTTATTTGCTGTGTTTGAGGCAGAATCACAGTGTGCTTGCCATATGGATAGCGACGCTAGTGACAGATTCTGCACAGAATTACAGTTGTCCTGAAGCAATTGAAGCCTTTTTTCTATAAAAAAAAAAAGAAATGTTTTTATTGTTTTTCTTAGGAAGAAGAAGTTATGCCTTTAGTCTGAACAAGCAGGCTAGACTTTTAATGGTTTCAGGAGTCTGTGACGGAGATGTTGTCAGTCCTCCTGGACTCCCTCCAAACAGGGTATATATAGGATTACAGCCTGTGTTGGACAAGGTTACACTGCCCCTGAAAGCACAGGTTTGCAGCTTGGGAGTGATCCTGGATTCATCATTGAGCTGGAACCTCAGGTTTCGGCAGTGGCTAGGGAGCTTTCACTCAATTAAAATTTGTGCGCCAGTTGCGCCCATTTCTTGGGAAGTCAGACTTGGCTACGGTGGTCCCCGCTCTTGTTACATCCAGGATAGACTACTGCAAGGTGCTCTATGTGGAGTTGCCTTTGAAGGCTGCTTGGAAGCTTCAAATAGTCCAACAGGAGGCAGCCAGGTTAATAACTGGGGTGGCATACAGGGAGCACACAAGTCCCATATTGTGTCAGCTCCACTAGCTGCCAGTTTGCTACCGGGCACAATTCAAAGTGCTGGCTTTGGCCTATAAAGTCCTAAATGGCCCCAGCCCAGTTTGCCTGTCCGAACACATTTCCCTCTACGAACCACCTCAGAGACTAAGATCATCTGGGGAGACCCTGCTCTCAGTCTCACCATTGTCACAGGCCTGATTGGTGGAGACAAGAGAGAAGGCTTTCTCAGTGATTGCCCCCCCCCCCCAGCCCCCTCCAGCCCCCTCCTTCCTGTGCTTCAGAAAGATGGTAAAAACTTGGCTGTGGGACCAAACTTAGAATCATAGAATCAAAGAGTTGGAAAAGACCTCATGGGCCATCCAGTCCAACCCCATTCTGCCAAGAAGCAGGAATATTGATTCAAATCACCCCTGACAGATGGCCATCCAGCCTCTGTTTAAAAGCTTCCAAAGAAGGAGCCTCCACCACACTGCAGAGAGTTCCACTGCTGAATGGCTCTCACAGTCAGGAAGTTCTTCCTCATGTTCAGATGGAATCTCCTCTCTTGTAGTTTGAAGCCATTGTTCCTTGTCCTAGTCTCCAGGGAAGCAGAAAACAAGCTTGCTCCCTCCTCCCTGTGGCTTCCTCTCACATATTTATACATGGCTATCATATCTCCTCTCAGCCTTCTCTTCTTCAAGCTAAACATGCCCAGCTCCTTAAGCCGCTCCTCATAGGGCTTGTTCTCCAGACCCTTGATCATTTTAGTCGCCCTCCTCTGGACACATTCCAGCTTGTCAATATCTCTCTTGAATTGTGGTGCCCAGAATTGGACACAATATTCCAGGTGTGGTCTAACCAAAACAGAATAGCGGGGTAGCATGACTTCCCTGGACCTAGACACTATGCTCCTATTGATCCAGGCCAAAATCCCATTGGCTTTTTTTGCTGCCACATCACATTGTTGGTTCATGTTTAACATGTTGTCCACGAGGACTCCAAGATCTTTTTCACACGTACTGCTCTCGAGCCAGGCATTGTCCCCCATTCTGTATCTTTGCATTTCGTTTTTTCTGCCAAAGTGGAGTATCTTGCATTTGTCACTGTTGAACTGTTGAACTTTTGGGACAATGCAATAAGGCAATAATAGGAAACCTATTCCGCTTATCAGAGTCAATATGGTTGTTTTTGAGATGGCTTAAACTATTAATTTTAAAGTAGATATAACTAATGTACAATATCATATTTATAATTCATGGCATGTTATTAGATAGATATTTTGAGATGATGACCTTGCTTCCCAATTTTGGAAGGAAGGCAGAATGCAAATAAAAATGAAATAGCCATTAATGATGCACCTGTTTGTCTCAATCCATGTCTTGCGGTATTGACTTTCAGGTCAGTGGGCTTGTGAATCCAGCTCTGTTTTTGTCTGAGCTTGAAAGCAGATTCAGCACTTTGGACAGCTCCCTTCAAACTCAGGCTGAAGCTTGCCTACTGACATGAGTTCTAGATGCAACTTGTAACTCTGAATTTCTGTGTTTGTTTCTTATAGGGGTCAGAGGCCAGACACCAGAGATAATACAAACTCCAGAGACGTTGTCGGTGTCTGCAGGAGAAGAGTTCACTCTGAATTGCATCCTGAAGGGGATCGGAAGGCCAGGAGGGGTCCGGTGGTACAGGGGCCCCGACAGAAACCAACCGGCCATTTATACTCAAAAAGACTCCTCTTCTCGAGTGACGAGGCTTGTTCCTGAATCCCCCACAGACTTCTCCATCACCATCAGTAACGTTCGACCTGAGGATGCTGGGACCTATTACTGTGTGAAATACAAAAAGACATCAGGAACAGAGGTGGAAGAAACCGCTGGGAAAGGCACCGTGGTTTCTGTGATTGGTAAGTCCTGCTCAAGGTCTCTTTGGGTCCAAGGAGGGAAATCTGTCCTGTTCACTATCACTCCAAACATTGAGGGAAATTGTGCATTTATTGCATGCAAATGGCTTCTTGAGGGCTGCATATTTCAATAGCAGAAAGAGAAGGGAGCGGGACCAGCCTATTAATATGTTTATTGATATCCCAAATGTCATTTAAACAATCCACATCATGCCAAAGTTAAAATATAACTAATTTACACGAAGTAGAAGCAGTTAAACAAGTAAACAATTAGAAAGATAGAAAAAAATCAAAAGTAAGCCAAGTTTTTCAGCCCTTTTTTTAGGCTGAAAAAGCACCCCTCAGCTTTTACTCAGCTTCTACTATTTTACTCTGTTATTATTCTTTTTTTATTACATTTATTATTTCACTCTATTATTATTTTGTTACATTTATTCTTTTTCTCTATTATTATTATTATTATTATTACATTTATTATTTTACTCAATTTATTATTGTTATTACATGTATTATTTTGCTCTCTTTATTATTATTATTACATTTATTGTTTTACGCTATTATTACTGTTATTATTACATTTCCATTATTTTACTCTATTATTATTATTATTATTATTACATTTATTATTTTACTCTTATTAATGGAAGGATACATAATCACATTTACATTGAAGAAAGTTAGAATAATGATTTAATCAGAGTTGGACAGTCTTATCTTGAATTACTGTTTTATGTAAATATTCAAAAACATTTAACCTACTGATGCCTCAATTAATGTAATTTTTGGTATGTATTTTTYTTTTGAAATTTACCAGTAGATGCTCCATTTCCCACCCTTGGCTTATACTCCAGTCAATGCGTTTTCCCAGTTTTTTGTAGTGCCTCAGCTTATATTCGAGTCGGCTTAAACTCGAGTATGTACGATACATTATACAAGGCCTCTATCCCTAAAGCWGTCCATCCTCAGACCAAAAAGTCTTCACCTGCTTGAAGAAAGASAATGTAAACTCTCTGGGAAACAAATTCCAGAGACTGGGACCTGCCACTCTCCCATATTCCCACCGGATGTACCTTGAAAGGTGTTAGAATGGTGAGAAGGGTCTTCCCAGAAGACTGCAAAAGATGGCCAGTTTCATATGGGAAAATACATTATTTCATATGACCTGGGCTTGCATCACATAAGACTTTTATAGATCAACACCTGTGCTTTGAATTGCACCAATTAATCAGACTTGCAGCCAARAGACCTGCTGTAATAAGGGTACTGCGTTCTGGTCTTTTAGCCCATCCTCCTTTTCACCACTGGCAATCCTTCAYCCTTCAGGTCAAACATTGCTTTTCCTTTTTGAAAGCCTTAGGATTATTACAGGCACCAGATATTGTCTGATCTTGGAAGTTAAGTAGGGCCAGCCCTGGTCAGCACTTGAATGGGTAACATAGGCTCAATTTTAGAGGAAGGAACTGGCAAAACACCTCTGAGGACCTCATGATATGAAGGTTTTCATCCCTCTCTACCCGCTTCTACCCACTTCAAAGACAGACCCCTATGGAGCCCATCAAACAACACAGGGCTGCTTCTGGTGGTGCCTCCTGGGACTCCATCTCCACAGGGTGCAGATATGGGAGGATTTCAAAGACGGGCAGAAATCGATTCCACTCCTTTCCCTGCATATAAAAGTGCTTTAAAATAGGTATTTTCACTTCTGATGGGACGTGGTGGATTTGTCCGATTACTCTCTGTGTGAAGGTGGGCTAATGTTCCTTCTTCTTCCATTAGTGGTTTCAAGACAGTGTGGATCCCATTGAAAGAAGTGTCTTAAAAAGTGTGCCTGTCTCTTTAAGTGTAAGGGGTTTCTAGGAAACGATCCCATGGAAAGTGGTGTCTCAAAAACAGATGCTTGTTTTATAAAGTGTGCTGGTATCCTTGAAATGGTTGAGCTAGAAGGGGAGAAAGTGATCCTGTGTGATTGGGGTGAGTAAATTCTCCACCTTCTTTAAAGACTGAACCCCATGAAATGCTGTTCAAAGAAGACAATTCCACACATACACACACACCATTTATGGGATGAAGTCTGAGTCTTCCTAGACTAAGAAAACCTTCTGGAAATCATGGGTCACCATGAATCAATCGGTTCAAAAGTAACATACATACATAATCAAAAGTAACATACATACGTTCTAATTAATTTTAGGCTAATGCATACTGGTTAATGTCTTTGGAACAAAGGAGACAATTTTCTTCCCCAAGACACTCCACCTGGGCTTCAACGCTTTCTCACAGATTCTCTCAGACTATCTAATTAGTCTATTTTTCACTCCCTCCGTTCTCAAGCCTAATCTGGATTCCTGAGAAAAGTCCCCATCGGCCAAAGGCCAGTTCCCAAGAGAACTGGTTTCACTATCCCTGGTTGCTTAAGAACAATCACTGGAATGCAAAACATCATCTCTCCAAGCACTGACAGGCTCATAATTTTGAAATCCAGCAGGCCTCTCATCCTCAGACATATCAGAAAAGTCAGAGAATTCCTCAGTCATTTGCTGAGCTACAACAATACAACAGTACATGAGCAAACAAAGAAGAGCATCTTAACTTTTTCCCACTTGTGAGCCTGAGAATTTTTTACACAATCACAGGTATATGTGAATACATAATAGAAATGAAAATAAAATCTGTACTGATAATAAATCGGCATTTGCAACACTTGCTAAACCAACTGATTTTCTGGGTTGTTGTAGGTTTTTCCATGTTATATGGCCATGTTTTAGAGCAGTGGTTCTCAACCTTTCTAACACCGGGACCCCTAAATATGGTTCCTCATGTTGTGGTGACCCCCAACCATAAAATTCTTTTCGTTGCTCCTTTATAACTGTAATTTTGCTATGGTTACAAATCATAATGTAAATACAAATCGTAATGTAAATACCCTTCCGAAATGGCCCCCAGGTTGAGAACCACTGTTCTAGAGGCATTTTCTCCTGACGTTTCGCCTGCATCTATGGCAAGCTTCCTCAGAGGTAGTGAATACCTCTAAGGATGCTTGTCATAGATGCAGGCAAAACGTCAGGAGAAAATGCCTCTAGAACATGGCCATATAACCCGGAAAAACCTACAATAACCCAGTGATTCCGGCCATGAAAGCCTTTGACAATACAACTGGTTTTCCTTTTTGCGGACTACTGTGGAAGCAATTTCTGTAGAGTCCACTGTAAACATCACATGTAGTTACCAATGGATTTGTGTAAATGGGTGGCATTCAGAAACCTTTCACTGTTGCCAATTTTGTGACCCCAACATTGAGATAAGGATTTGGGAACCACAGTTGAAGAAGCAGTAATATAGAGTCTTGTGATTTTGTCTCCTCCCCCCCCCCTCCAAAAAAATATGGATAAGCAAAAATACATGAAAGAAAATAACATATTCTAGCTTGAAATCTACTCAGTTAATTTCCTGAGTGCAAACAGGGAAGATGGTCAAAAACAATCTGCAAGGAACCAAATACTGCCAACAACAGCAGGTGTAAAGTATGAAGAAGCAGCGTTCAGCCTTGACACTTGAGTCTCGGACTAACAACTGAAAAACAAAAGGTGGGAGGTGGAACGTGGAAAGCAGAAGTGGTATTTATTGTGGTTGGAACTGCCGGTTTCATTTCCAGCCCTTGAGAACAAGGGGGGTCAACCCTTCAGAAGGGAGTGGGCCTTTGAGATAATACAGATGCACGGAAAACTAGAAAGGGGAGGGGAACTGGGACTGCTATGGGATCAGCTGCATGTTGAAATGGATTTGCAGATAAGAGGGAATAATTTGGGTGGAACTGTGTAATTTGGTAATATCGGAACACAGGGAACGGGAGCACCTTTGTATAGCCAGGCAGGATGCAAAATGCACCCAGTGGGTCCACCCATGGCTCCCAGTTCTGTTAGGGCTCACATCCCATGTGGGTTAGTCTTTCATAGAGGGATTTTATTGGGGCCTTACATTGCTGCTAGAGCTTGGGGAACTCTCACAGCTGCCACTCAAGGGATTTTTTCCCCCAGATCTTGCACCCAAATTTGTCAGATGTCAGGGCTTGGGACATTCTCTCCTTCAGATGAAGGCAAATGGAATATATATATACTTGTGGAATAATTTCCAGGGTGGGAGAAAGAACCAATGTCTAGTCACCAAGTGTGAAGGGAGCAGTTAGCAAGCCTGGTTTGCAAGTGTTTGAGTAGGATCCATCCATTAGCCTGTGAGTAACAGAAGGTTGCATAGTCAATAGTGAGGGCATCTGCATGGACATAGCCAGGCCTTGGTTTCCCTTGTTTTTTGCCTGAAGCCCTATGAGGAGTGGCTTCAAGAACTGGGCATGTTTAGCCTGCAGAAGAGAAGGTTGAGAGGTTTCATGATGAGGGCCATGCATAAAGATGTGAGGGGAAGTCATAGGGAAGAGGAAGCAGGGTTGTTTTCTGCTGCCCTGGAGACTAGGACGCAGTGGATCAAGATGGGAGACATTATGGATCAAGATGTGAGGAGGAGGGAGCAAACTTGTTTTCTGCTTCCCTTGAACTAGGATGCAATGGAACAATGGCTTCAAACTACAGGAAAGGAGATTCCACCTGAACATGAGGAAGAACTTCCTAACTGTAAGGAGAGTTGTTCAGCAGTGGAACTCTCTGCCCCGGAGTGTGGTGGAGGCTCCTTTTTTGGAGGCTTTGAAACAGAGGCTGGATGGCTATCTTTCAGGAGTGCTTTGAATGTGATTTTCCTGCTTCTTGGTAGGGCGTTTGACTGGATGACCCGCAAGGTCTCTTCCAACTCTATGATTATATGAATACACTAACCATCCCCTACCACGTGTTGATGTGGCCCACAGGGGGGTTCTGTGTGGGAGGTTTGGCCCAATTCTATTGTTGGTGGGGTTCAGAATGCTCTGTGATTGTAGGTGTACTATAAATCCCAGGAACTACAACTCCCAAATGTCAAGATTCTATTTTCCCCAAACTCAAGCAGTGTTCACAATTGGG